ATATATATATATATTTTTTAACCTAAAAAAATTTCTGCATTAAATGTTTGTTTTTAATTTAAAATTACCAGTATTCAGGCAGATGTTCTCTATTCTGCTACAAATACATTGGTTCAATATTTCAACACATAAAAATGAATGTAGGCCGTATCTCTGCCTATATTCTCTTCATGATGATGAAGTATTAGTAAAGATGCATTTTTTTTTACAGAAGTATAGCCAATATGTTATTGTAATATGTTATAATAAGTGGTTAATAGAAAAAATATTAAAAGCTATTAATAAATATTTGAGAATTTAGTATTGTTCACCATAGTGTAATTTCGTGTACACTTGTCTGTATCTTCTTATAATGCCTCATTATTAATAAGCTAGCTGCACTATGTCAGAAGTGTTTAAAAAGTTACTGTTTTTTTTTTATTTTATTTAGATGCTCCACTCGTATCAAATGGACCCATCATCTTATACCATAATGGAATTCCATATGTTTACCAGAATCCTGGCCCCTTTTCACTCGCATCTGACAACCCTTATCACTTTCAACAGTCTCAGGTTTTTTTGTTTTTTTTTCTCTCTGAAATGTGGCTTCTCATGTTCTGATGTAGAAAACTGAGTATCACTTTTAATAGTTTTGTTTTAGTGTTGAATAAAATTTTTAACCAACTTTGGGGATTAAAACATTAGATTATCTCTATACTCCGTTTTCTGTAAACAGGGTTGTAGCTAGGATGATTTGAGTGGTGGGTGGTAAAAACCAGTGTAGCCCATAGATGCACGTACCTGTGGCTCCTGTCATCGTCTCCCCCCCCCCTTGTCTAGGCAAAAAAAATAATTATTATTTTTAGTTTTATAATTTGAATGACATCAAAAATTTGTAAATTCCTTTGGAAAGTCTGATAAAACACTACACACGAACAATGAATAGGCAAAGGTGTTATGAGGTGAACGATGAGTCTAAAAAAATAAAGGTGGAGTCACACTTTACTCTAGGCTGTATTTTATTTTTCTGATTCATCTATCTACAACAGCAGGTAATTGATACAAATTAGTCACAATGAGGTTAAACAAAGTTTTTATGGAAAAACACATTGATATACTTTTATATTTTAGATATCCATAAAATTTTGAAAATATTTTTATGCAGTCCATAAACTTTTACTGGACCATACCATTGTATGGTACCCAGTATAGATGGTATTATCTGATGTGCCGTGCCAAGTACAAGTGAATTAGCGTTGGGTGGGCCATTTTTTCAGAGTTTCTGTGCAGGTTTTTCCTGTGGACTTGAAAAGTATTTTAGCAGGAAAGTTATTTGTTTCGTGATTTTTTAGGAAAAGTGTTTGTTTCTAAAAAGCTACCATATTTGCCCAAATATAATGCATATTTTTTTTCCCTCTAAATACCTCTCAAAAAATTGACTGTGAGTTATATTTGGGCACGTTCAATTTTGTTAGGTATTTTACCAGAAGCTACCAAAGAAAAGTATTAAAACATCATTAAAGGTTGCAAAAAATGTTACATGCTGTGGGAATCGGAAGAGGATGAAGCAAAGGTTCGAGGAAGCAGATCTGATGGTAGCGATGACGAAGATTTATCTGAAGATGAATGATTAGCTTAGTGTACTACTTTGTATAAACTTTTCAGTAAATTTTGTAAAATTGCCACAGAAAAAATTTCAATGAAAGATTTCTAAAAATGTTTAATACACTGACAGTTGTTTACTATATTTAGAAATGATTCAATACATTTTTGTACAACTGATGTGTAAAACAAATTTTCTTCAATTTAACCTTTCAAAATTGGGTGTGCGTT